CCCCCCTTCAGCCTAGCAAAAATTTGAAACCTGAACCATATGATGCCTTTTGTTTCTTCAAATTGTCTTACTGCATTTGGAACCCCCTCAGAAACCCGTGAATCCATTTGGATACCATTGATCCTTTCTAGTTCTGTCACCACATTTTTCTCAACAGTCTTTTCTGCAACCTCCTCATCTTCCTTTTTATCATAATCGTCCCCTTCCACACCAAGAGCTTCCAGACTCCCCTGAACATCCTTTACCCTAAGAGAAGCTTCCTCTGCTTCAATATCTAAATTATCTCCTTCCTTTGTACACTCGTTCATAGGCATTTTATATTTCTCTTCCAACTCTTTGAAGGTTCTCCAAGCAAATTATTCTTATGGGCATGATGACCATTTTTATCCAGCTCAAAATTCTCTTTAGATGTGGTGTTAAATCTTAGTTTTCGTTTGCATAATATATTATTTGGTTGATCAATTAGACTATTTGCACTTTCTACGAATTTAAATTTTACTTGAACCTACACTATTATGTAGTTTTAACACTTCAAATCTACAGGGCAACTTCGCAATGTGTTATTTTGTATAGAAGCTTAGTTTCTTGGCTTTGTTTGATGGTTTCAAACAAGATAATAATCTAAAAGGGTGTATCTATGCTTCTTTTATCATTTCATAAAATATCATTGCATATTTCCACATACTTCACAATGTTTCCACCACATTTAAAATTATTATAATATTTCCGTACGAATTCCCAACATGTTTCCTATATTTGGATGACTAATATTTCCACCAACACTGACATTTAAACCTTGCAGAACATAATGTGGACCAAAAGATACCATCTGGTCTTAAATGCATACACAAGAGAAACTCTGTAAAACAAGTGTTGACTGAAAAAAAGGAATCATTAGTTGAGAGCAAATCTAACAATAAATGCTTGCAACAAGCTCATACTCAAGCCTAGACATAGGTAGAGACTCATAGAGAAGCATAACCACAAGAGTTCTGGCAGAAGAAATTGAAATAATATAATGAATGGTTACCATTTCTTTCTCCCAACAGCACCAATCCATCACGAGTAATTCCAGATCCTACAAGTATGCACGTAGGATGGAAAAAAAAATAAATAGGAAATTAATTTAAACGCACATGTCCCAGCAAAAGATTAAAAAAAAGATCTAGATAATTATGGCCAAGATAACCAGGATTATTACTCACCATCATCCTCTACTTTTACATAGCTTGTCCCAACACCTATAGATACAGTTATCTGAAACCAAAAACAAGGCAAAAGAAATAGCCTATTTTAGTCCCAAAAATAACAGTTACCAGCTACCTATCTACATGCAAACACATGCAGACAAGTAGATATTATAAACTCTAAGAACCCAGGTAGGAGAGAACAAACCCAACTATATGGTGTCAGGTAAGGGGAAGAACAAGATCATAAATAGTTACTTACTACTGAACTAAAGTACCTAATATAGGCGGTATTAAGTATGAGATAATGCTGTTTCTTCTTAAAAGTTACATTAGTCAAAGATATGGAGAAGGCGAATAGGCAAACAGGAAAGAGATCTTAAAAGTGGACGATTTTGCAAATACTCCAAGAAGAAAATCATTCATCAAGCCAGGACAGAAGGAAGCAATACAATTACATTGGAAGACCTGTTGAAAGAAATCGACAATGAATATCAGGATGGTGGTATAGTATGGGGTAAAGAATGTTGTCAGTAAGGGTTTTCATTGTTGCCAAATATCATATCTGACTCCAAAGCATAGTTGTCAAAGCGACACCTAGGCAACTATGCTTTGGAGCCTAGGCGGCTCGAAAGATTGAGATGCTAGTTGAAGGGCTTTGCTATTCAGTGTGGCTGGCTTCATCCCATGAATCGGTGCTCTGGAAGGAGGCTCGTAGGGAGGGAGATGAGAAGGTTGAAGAAGAAGTACTGCGTAGCAAGAAGGGATTGGTTGATTCAAACAAGAAAAGATCTTTCACAAAAATGGGAAAACCAAGACTGGAGAAGCAAAAGGGTAGCACTCAGGGGGTGGGTTTTATGCGTGTGGGAGCAGTGAACAGCCTGGAAGGTGGCAGGTCTTTTGCACAGGTTGTAA